CATTCTTCCCAGTAATCCCTTGTGCCTTCGTGACTTTACTGTTTTGCATGAGGTGAAACTGATTAATATATATATATATATATATATATACATATATGAATAAATGCAAAGTTTTCCTTTTGTCTTTATTCATAATATTCATTTACAGATATATTTCTAGTTATAAGAAAAGAACGATAGATAGATAGGCAGACAGATAGATACATAGATAGATAGATAGATAGAAAGAAAGAAAGAAAAAAGAAAGAAAGAAAGAATGAAAGAAAGAACATACATACATATTCGCTAATGACTTCACGCATATTCGCTAATATTCGCTGTATATTCATAGGTAATTAACGCCTTTCTCCATCGATCCGGTCTCCGTAGCCAAAATTGTTAAATGAAGATACCATTCGGCTATGGAAACCATTTCCATGCTGGGAAAGGTGAGACAGGTTCGATTCCTCGTGGAGGAACACAATTCCTTTAGTAAAACTTCCCAATTTAAGCCGGTTGTTATTACTAAAACTGTTTAAGAATATAGAAAAAAAAAACCAACAATATACAGACATACCCAATAAAAATAACATTTATTCCGTATATACTTGTGTATAAGCGATTTCATGTGCGAGGGTCGGATAAAAAGTTCATCACCTGGCTATGAAGGTTGCAAAATAATGCATTAATTTCAACTCTTCTTATTAATAACTGCATTTTTTCCTTCCAGAATGTATGGCATATTTCATATGACCTATGATTTCATTTGCCTGAATTTTAACCGCTCCAGAAAAGATTATCTTTGTATACCGTAACTGGTCAACGGAAATTTATGATTTTTAAAGTCTTCACAAAAATTACCAGCGTATAATGCGAGCCACTATTTTTTAAAATTTTTGTAATCTTGTTATATAAATTATATAAATTTATCGTAATTTAAATAACTGATCCAAGTGCGACTTTTGGATAATAAGTGCGACATTACTGTAATTATTGAAAAATATAGTTCATGCCACTTTGACAGAAAATTTACCAGTAAAAAATTCGTTCATCACCATATATGGATATGAACGCACAACTTTTAAAAATTTAAAATCAAACTCAGCGTTGCTACTGCGCGCTCCAAAAAAAAATAACTCATTTCCAATAGCATTTTCGGATACAACAATACATATATTTTCGTTGTCCTCTTATTACTAAGAGAAAAAACAAGAACAACATCTATTCTATACCTGAAGATGTCTGTAGGAACAGACGAAAGCTTGTAGTAAAAATAAGAACTAATACGGCAGAAATTTATATAAACAAGGATCATTTCATTCATAACGGATTCGAAGGTTTTTGTATATCATTTGAATTGTTTGCGATGATGGATTTCTCGCCAATTAAATCATTAACTTTTCATTAGTTTTTGTGTGAATAATTCATGAATATATATACATATATATATATATATATATATATATATATATATATTTCAATAATAGTGCAATTAATTTACAAATTCATTTTTCGGATTACAATACATCTATTTTCGTTGTCCTCTTATTACTGAGAGTAAAAACAAGAACAAAATCTATCCCATACCTGAGGATGTCTGTAGGAACAGACGAAAACTTGTAAAAATAATAAGAACTTATGCAACTGAAATTTATAAAACAAGGATCTTTTCATGCATAAACAGGTTCAGGGTTTTTTATATTATTTGAATTGTTCGCGAAGATGGATTTCTCGCCAATTAAATCATTAAACTTTGTATTTGTTTTTTGTATGAATAATTCATGAAATATATATATATATATATATATATATATATATAATCATTTATTATAAAGATGTTACATAAGGACAAACAAGTACTCATGACAAAGATGCATCTTTGTTTCGCTTATTATTTTTTCTTTTCCTTTTATGGTTTTCTGCTTATGTTTTTATAAAAATAATAATGAAAAAAAAAAAGAACATGATGTTTCATAAGTTGCATTTTTACATAGAATCGTTTATAACCATGTTTGTTCTTCATCGGTCGAGATGCGTTCGCATCGAAACAAAAATGCATCTTTGCTGTGAGTACTTGTTTGTCCGTATCTAACATTTTTATGATAAATAACTTTTGCTCTACTCTTGGCATTGAACCCTCTTTTAAATTAATGCTGTGAACGTTTGAATTTATATTATTTTCGTTCTCGTTACATTTAAATATATAATAATATGAAATATAGATATTATAATAATATATGATGTTACATTATATATTATAATATTATTGTTATGGGAACTTGCCTATAACGATAATGGACTCTTCCTGACACTATAAATACTGCGCCTCTCAAGAGGTATAATGAATGAATGGTGTAACGAGTCGAGACAATATTAGTTCACTCTAAACCAGACGGACAGTCATTTCTAAGACCCTCAACTTCTTGTACTATATTTCTGTTGTAATATATCTTTGTTATTCTACTCTTGTGTTCGTGTTGTTCTTCCTTGGTTCTAACCTTGGACCATAACTCTGGTGCGAGGATATTGGACCATAACTCTGGTGCGAGGATATTGGACCATAACAATTATATATTATAATAAATTAAAAGTATATCAAATATAATATTTTTACATTGTTTAGACTGTTATTTTCATCTTTATTGCTATATTCCCGACGTTCCGGCCATTGTACGTTCCGGTCATCTTCAGGTGTTTGGCATTTCGAACTGAAACTTTTACTTCTTCCAGCGAGGTAGATGTTTCTAGTTTCACGTTCGGACAACAACGCAAATAATGTAAACAATTATAATGCTTAATCTCAGATATGTAGACAGAGATATATAATAAATAAACGGTGTTCCAATAATTTGGATCGATTTTAAATGTGAAATGAATTTTTAGCGTCTAATGATTTTTTACATTTGGCCGATATTATTTTTCAAACATAATTGCTATGACTTAAATAACATGATCGAATAGAGAAATAAATAAATTTTCACCAATAACACTGATTTATTTACTGCTGATTTTGATCCGTCTTAATGAAACACACTTATTTATAATCCGTCTTATTGAAACACCCTTTGTAATGATAACTAAACTTAATGATAATAGTAATAAATATAATAACTATTATTGAATATAATGATAAATAAATATAATACGATATATACGCTAGTAATAAAGATATAAATATATATATATATAGTAGCAATAAATATATAATGATTCTAAAATCCATTAAAAAATACATATATATCTGTGCGTACGCATGTTTTTGAAAGTCTACATATACACATGCATGATTATATGTGTGTGTAATTATATGTGTTAAAATACAGCTACAGCCCACTGTATTCTCGATGCAAACTGTGAAATGTGTAAATAAAGCTAATATGTCTCGAATAAAAAATAATATTATTTCTAAGAATCAATTTATTTCCGATAAGCTTGTTTCAGTCAACAGCTATCTACCGCAAGATTTTAGAGTTAAATAAATATATAGGTCATTCAGCTGAACCAATCAGTTCCATGGGTGTTAATTTACACGGTTTAAATGATGACGCCTACGAATGAATGTTAGAATCTCATTACAGGTTTTGTGTTACGCCATTAGACCAAATTGACGGCACCATAACGAGGCTCCTAAGGCGGTAAGCAATACAAAACTGTTCATGTTATGGGTCAGCACATCATGGCTTCTCTATTATAGGAGCTGTTCTATTAAAAGAAATTTAGAAGAAAGAAAGTTTGGTAGTAAAGAGCTAAGATATAAAGAAATTTGATATGGTTACCAAATGGCAGGAATGGATAAATTTGTGAGAAACTTTAGAAATTCAACTAAGACCAGCTTACACGGTTTACAACGATGTCGTCCCTGAACTAAATCGCCAACTGAAAATCAGGCCACACTTTGCCAGTCCTTAAGATACCAATTAGTGACGTCAAAAGCTCACGTAGAGGGCCGTGTTTAGTATCGGTGCGTTGGCTGTTGCATCCGGGAAATTCTGCTTGCACATCCAATACAAAACTGACCGGATAGACATGTTTTCTAGTAACTCCTGTACTGCAATTTGTTGCATTGACGTTTGTTTGTCGCCGCAGACAACGCTCACCAGACACTTCTGTACATGTTCATTAGGGCCGGCTCTATATGTAGTACATTGTTGTTACTGAGCTCAAATAACGTAACGAACACACACACACACAGACACACACAGACACACACACACAGACACACAAACACACATTGTTCACCACTGCTGTGAACAGGTATTGAAATATGTTGGCTGATTGGGAAGTAAAGGCGAGAAGAATAAAAGAGAAACAGAGGCAAAAACTAAAATGGATAGCACATGTAACTGGAAGAGAAAATAATAACATAATAATTTGTTGATATTCTACACCACTTCAAATAAAACTTGTGTTTTTTTATTACAAGGAGCGGGGCGAAGATTTGATCCTTGCCGGAGAGGACATTTTGTTTGTTAAGAATTCCTCCAATAGATAGACTTAATAAACACTGTTTAAAATAAAAATGGCGTCTTTGTTTTAAATATGATTATCCACCATGTTAACGTTTAACGTTCCACACACCCACATATAAACTACAAACTCATTGTTCATAATTTAACGTTGTGCCAGTTTAATTTAATTCATTATAGACTTAATCCCTTCCTGTAATTAAAGAATAAGTCCCCATTCATTTACCAGTTTAATGGTGCTGGTCTCCTTATAGCACGAGGCAGACAATAATGTCTTTTTTTTCTGTAGCGGAATATCAGCGTCTATAGGTTATTTAATGTTGAAATTTAAATATTTTTTACGCAATTTTATCTAGACAATAATGTTGTTACTGATACAAGAGGTAGAGTCATACCTTTCCAAAGGGTATTTTGTGTGTATATATATATATATATATATATATATATATATATATATATATATATATATATATATATTCAAGCGGAATTGGAACCCGGTTAACAATTCGAGTCATTACGCATTATACCAACCACCGGCACATCTTACATCAAATTTTGCAGCACCTGATATTTTGAAATGGTCACCCACCTAGATAGTGACCAAGCTCGACGTTTCTTAACTTCAGTGATCGAACGGGAACCTGTGTTTCAAGCCTCAGACAATAATGTACTGAATAATTAGCGATGCAGCAATGCATTGATTTTTATTGGCAAGGTTTATTCCAATGATTTGTTGTATTAAGTATTCAATGCTATAATCAGCTGTCAAACGATATCTTATTCAATGTTCGAATTTTTCCAATTTTCGCTATACACAGGTCATTAAGGTCGTTATATCAAAAGCAGATAATGAATCCGTTCCATCCCATGTCGCACAAGAGCTTTTGATTTTTGACATTCTGTCCTTTTGAGAATGCTATTTAGTATTGTTTATATTTAAATCTCTTTAGTGAGGTTGCTTTATCATTATTCAGTTTTAATGAGGGAAAACTAATTTAAATATCTTTAAAGAAATCGATTTTGCCTATTACATCAGCAAACTCAGTACGAACTATTCTTTATGCATTCATATATATATATATATATATATATATATATATATATATATATATATATACTAGTGATAATCTTATAAATATAAGAAATTATTATACTCGTCCGGAGAACCTTCTGTCTTGATTTGCAAATAACCAAGCCAATATTTAAAGGGAAAAAGATACAAAAAAAAAGAACAAAAGAACAACAAAAAAAAACCCGACACGTGTAAGTATAAAAACTACATAAAGTGCTTGATATGCTAAGTAGAGAAATCCCTAATTAAACCTAAAAAGACAGACAATCCTACCAAGGTTTCATCCGCGTAAGTGAAACCTTGGTAGGTTTGTTCAACTCTTTAGGTTTTTATATATATATATATATATATATATATATATATATATATATATATATATATATATATATATTCTTTATGCATTCCGCTGGCGTATTTCGTATAGAGAAAATGTTAAAATTACCTTCCTTTCTGCCTTTGCGACGATGGCCTAGAGGTAAGATATCTGACTGACGTGAAATCAGTGGGTTTTGATCCCGGCTTGTGGCAATCTAGCCACACTGAGGGAGCTGTATGTAGATGACTATATATATATATATATATATATATATATATATATATATATATATATATATATATATATATATATATAATTGTGTATTTTCTAATACAGGTAAGACGAACTAGAACCTACTCAACTGTATGTATCATGTATATATATATAATTGTGTATTTGTCCAGCAATCCATCTTTTATACAAGTTTCATTAAAAACGGCTGCCAAGGTACAGTGGTTACATTTTTTTAATTTATTTTTTCTTGCATTGTCATATTTTCCTTCTTTTCTGTACATAAAAATTGGTTGAAATTATCCGAATGTTTTGTATGTCCGAGCGCTTTCGGCTACTCATTTAGCTAGGCTCAAGGGTGATTTTATTTTTACCTATTCAGTAAATGTATGGATTGTTTTAAGTACGTATATAAAGGTATAGGACTGTTTTACTTTATAAACATGGTCAGCATAATATGGCAGTGTTCACAGTTGATGTGCTGAGGAATGTGTAAGAAACAAGAGAAATTAAATAAAAACTCACCCACAGTATCATGTCTGTTATTTTTACTTGCTTAACACACACACACACACACACACACACAAACACACACACCCACCCACACACACACATATATATATATATAATTTTAACAGATATATTTACCAAAATATCCTGAATTACTAAAAAGTAAATTTATTCAATAAAATCGTCATTGGTTTCAACGACGGCCTCCAGACGACTTCGGAATCTCCTACAACTCTTTTGAATGGTCTCCTTATTTAAGTCAGTGAATGGTGCCATAATCTTAGCCTTCAGTTAATCTTTGGTATTACAAGGAGTTTTGTTGGTCTTTCGCTTAGCCGCTTCCATATATAATAATGAAAGAATACCGTATACTTGTGGGGTGGTCAGATGTAAGTGGTGATGTGGTTGCCGAAATTGTCTGGTCCACATGACAGTATACTCCTGCTTGTGAAACATAATGCATAGTCCTTTGGCCAGAGGTAGGGTCTTACGTCAGCCACACACTTGATCCAGAACAGCACTGCCTTCTCAAGGTACTTGCTGTTGAGTCTGAAGCCCTGTGAAGAGATGAATGGAGGCAGAACGTGATCACCACAAACACCTTCACAATCACCATTAGACTCGTCCAACGCTTTCCGAAATCGATACACTCTCCTCAGGTTGACACCCCAAATACTGTGAAATATTGTTATTGTAAATTTCGGTTCGACTCTCAAGGAGTACAGTATGAAGTTTTCAAATTCCTGGCAGAGTGAATTGAGTTATGGTTCTCCTGTTCTCACAGATGGTAGGCAGCTGCACCTACTATACTGTACAGTCAACAAAATCAAAAACAAACCACGCGCATGCACGGAATTAAAATGAAATAAAATGGCGACAATTTACCCTACGCACCCTATATATATATATATATATATATATATATATATATATATATATATATATATATATATATATATGATCTGTGTGTAGTTACGCCTCTGTTTTTTTTAATTTAGCCGTTCCCACGTTTGATGGAAATGATATCAACTCACTGAAGGTGACGTCATATAAACGGTGAAACTGATATTTTTATGTGTGTGTGTAGGTGTATGTGTGTGTGTGTGTGCGTGTGTTTATACGCACTTCAGTATAGATATGGAGAAAGATACTTTATTTAATGTTGGCTGCTTCTCTTTTATTACAACAGACTCAAGAATTTAGCGTCTTTCTTTGCACTTTCTTATGTATAAAACACACGTAGACACATATTAAAACCAGTTGCGTAACAACACAGAGAAGAATCATTGAAAAGAAATGGAGTTTCATTCGAATGTACTTGAAAACTCAAACAAAATAAATTCCAATTCTTAGAAGTTCTTGTAGAATTTAGGAACAACACATTCAATACTTCCTTATAAAAAAACAGTAAAAACACTTGCCACCATAATTTTGTCAGTGAATGTGCACTTAGATATAAAGTCGGCATAATAAAATATTTCCTCGGGAGTGTGCACGAGAATTTATCGTCTCGTCTGATTTCTATTGGATAACGGGAAACAGAAGAAAGTTATTAATGGTTTTCGCAACTACTTCACAGGTCGCCAAATTCGACTATTTCTTTTTAATATAACCAGTAGCAACACTAAGCATACAGATTAAAATAAATAAAAAATCTTTAACATTTTCAATAAAAGGTAAATACACGTTAACTAAAAGCAAGATGAATTTTCTCTTAGAAACACAACCCCAGTCGAACATTAAATTAATTATCCACTGTAAAAACTTAGAACTGCTAACCTTATCATTAACAATAGCAACACACCTGCAAGATCTAAATTATAGAGATCAATATTATTTATGAATTCATATGTCTTTTAATGAACAGCGTTCCTGATCAAAACGAATCCATGAATAATTATATTATATATATATGCCACTACATACATATCAAGAATAATCACGTTATATCTCTCAGGCCATAACTCTGTTAGGATCCATTTAAAACCTACTAACCCCCATCCACACTCGGCCCGCTTTCATGTAGAAAAGACTAAAATTAATACAAGGACTAATAAAAAAAAGAAAAAATGCAACAATCAGTAACTCCAACTCTAAACAATTTGCAAACTGTTTTTGAAAAAAGAAAAATATTCCCATCTCTCTAGAAACATATATAAAAATCCACACAGTTAAAAAAAAAAATCCTTAAAAATGCCTAATGGAATAGCCGAAAGCGCTCGGATATGCAGAACATTTAGACAAATTTACACACCTTATGTCCAGAAAAGATATCACGTATACGAACACAAGAAAAAATTAAATAAAAAGCTTCGTCGAAGTATCTTTTCAGTCTTCTTTAATGAAACTTGTATAAAAGTGGGATTTGCTGCCAAAACACGCACATACATATACATAGTATTAATTTGTCATTGAATTGATTGATGATATATTCAGCAGTTGAACTCTGGGGTTTCCTAGACGAACCCTTTTTGTAATTGTCCGGTCCATTCGTCAAGAACTTCCAACGGTACTTGGAATGCGTTTGTCTACATCCTGGTATTCTTTGAAAAACTGCAAGTTTCAAATAGTCTAAACTGACGTCAGGTGTAACGGCTAATATGAAAGAATGCAATTTATTTTTTTTTTATATATATATATATATATATATATATATATATATATATATATATATATATATATATATATATATATATATATATATATATATATATATATATATATATATATATATATATATATATATATATATATATATATATATATATATATATATATATATATATATATATATATATATATATATATATATATATATATATATATATATATTTTATTTATTTTTGTCTCCTTTATTATATTTAGATTATACATATGTATTCGGCCATATGGTTAGGAAGTTCGCTTTTCGACCATGAGACCCGTTTTCGAATCTAACCATAATCGATTTCTCCGACTGGAATGTCTCTGAAAACAATACTTGAGCGAGCACGAAGCCGGAAGTCATCGTGGCCAATGGTTTGAACGTACAGGACTTGTTCAGACTGTTAAACAAACAAAAATGCGCAGTAGAGATTGGCTAAATTCCCTAAAAGACAGGCAAACTCGGATACGTTGCACAGTCATTAAATATATATTTTAAGTGTAATCAACGTTACGCTTCTCACATACCTCAAATAAATATAATATTTATAGATATAATCTCAAATTCAATAGTTAGGGAAGAAAAATATATCTATCTATCTATCTATCTATCTGTCTGTCTGTCTATCTATCTATCTATCTATCTATCTCATTCTGTTCAATATCTATCTCATTCTGTTCCACATCTATCTATCTATCTATCTATCTATCTATCTATCTATCTATCTATCTCATTCTATTCAATATTTATCTATCTATCTATCTCATCCTGTTCAATATCTATCTATCTATCTATCTATCTATCTATCTATCTATCTATCTATAAAATTCTGTTTAATATCTATCTGTCTATATATCAAATTCCGTTTAATATCTATCTATCTATCTATCTATCTATCTATCTATCTATCAAATTCTGCTTAATATCTATCAAATTTGGTTTAATATCTATCTATATATCTATCTAAAACACATCGTTTATTTATCTATCTAAAACCACTTACTCCTTAGAGTCAAGTCTTTGCTACCCTCCAACGTCTATAATCGTTTTCTGCAAGTAGATAAATATTTAAATCTCCGATGCTTGTCTTATTTAGTAAAAGAGATCGATTTTAACGTAGGAAAACAGAGAGCATTTCTAATTCCAGTATTTTCTGTTGTTAAAACCTATTCAGTAACAAAGGAGTATGTTTTTTATCTCTGTCGAAATGAACCAGTGTACCCGACACATAATTCGACATTAAATAAACAGAAAAGGATGACATCTCGTCGAAGCTAACCAACCAAACAAGCAATAAAGAGGACCAGGCGCCTGTCATAGAGCAAAGATTACTCAAGTGAGCTGCCGAGTTCAGTTCTTAGTGGTAACCTCAAATTTGTTGTTATTTAAACATTTAATTTTCTAGTTAAATTAAATCATTAGGAATAAAATGTATGTTAATCTTTATTTGTATTTGATAAGTGTAGCTTAATCTACAAGTGTGGTATTTCGAATGAAGATGCCACTACTCATAGAACAGTAGCAATAGTCTGCTATAAGATTTTGCTTTGTTTTTCCTTACACACGGCGTGGATCTATACATCACACACACACACACACATATATATATATATATATATATATATATATATATATATATATATATATATATATATATATATATATATATATATATATATATATATATATATATATATATATATATATATATATATATATATATATATATTTTCCTCGTGTATATATATATATATATATATATATATATATATATATATATATATATATATATATATATATATATATATATATATATATATATATATATATATATATATATATATATATATATATATATATATATATATATATATATATATATATATACTGCAGATACGAGGAAAAAATATGGAATGGGTGACTCAGAAAATGCGGAAAATATGCTCAGGATAGAGAACAATAAAATTACAGGAATTAGATAAACAGACGATAGCGATTGAAATTGCATTTAAATTCTTGAAGGTCAAAGTTGACTCAAGAAGCTGAAAGTGATTTGAAAAGGCAAGAAATACCATAGAAAAAAACTGCTAGCATAGAAATTGTGCATACATCTAGCTATTTCAAATGCAAAATAATGAGAACTTGCCGCTTAAGGTCATAACTTCATAAAGTAGTTCGCTTAAATTTATAAAGTCTTGGTATCATAGCAGAAAGTTAGACAGAACAGTTCCAATGAAAATGTTTCTAGAAAAAAGCAAAGGGAGGCTACAGTACGGCGGTGGGAATAATACTGAGGACGAGATGCCATGTCAGGATCAATAAAATAGCAGATTCTTTTTTTGGATATTATCAAGAATCGCTAAAGGTATCGCTGGAACACCAGACAAGACTTGGCAGAAATATTTAAAACAAGGACGAATAGTAGTCTTAGAAATATATAAGACAGATTCTGGAGAAGGAAACTGTCTAGCACGACACAGTGAAGCAATTTTCCTAGCAGCAAAAATAGCAATGGATTCAACCTTTCCACTTCATGTCTGCGGCAAACGTTATTTTATCCAAATTTTACTAAACTGACGTTATCTTCTTTTTTTATTTTACAGTATAGTTCACTCTTTAAAAGGACCGGAAGCCACAAGAGATAGAGGATTACGTTCGGAGATTAGGAGTGGAAGATAATTGTTAACCTTATTTTGAACTGGTTAAGATTGTAAAGATTATTTACCGACCTCCCCACGAGGTTGGATGTGGCATAAATCCGATTTTAATGTGGAGCAATCCGTGCCCGTAGGTTCGTCCAAAAATACAAGGGGTCGGGATTCTTTACCTCTTTCGGCATAGCCTCGTCCGGATTCCTCTCTGCTCGAAGGCAGAGAATTTGACAAAAGCTAACAGATGAGCACGCGGCCAGCTCCTGCTGCCTAACTACCTAATGGTTCAGATTGTAGTGATCGAGGAAACATCGTCTTCGTTTCCCCAGAGCAGTAGTTCGCGGGAAGAAGCTGTTCGAGTGGGTCTTAATTCTCACTGATAGAATACGAAGAAAATATGGCTGGTTTGCTACGATGTAAGTAGCATGGTGTGTCGTTGCCGTGAAAGTTTGAATTGACGTGACCAGGGAATGTAGTTCTTCCGGTTACTTTCCGTGGAAGTAGTGATAGATCAGGAAAAGGGTTGTCACATCTGCCTGTGGGAAAGAAGATGGAGGGTAGAGAATAATTCGTCACCCACAATGGCTCGGAGAAGATTTTTGAAATCTATTAAAGCTGGAGAGTTAGGTCTGGGCAGCTCACTTCTAAGTATTTTTGAACTGAACTGAAGGTAAAGGGTAGCATGATGAGGTATTTACATGAACGATACGAAGAGCCGACAATTCTACCTGAATCATAAGCGATGGATCATATGTACGAATTCAACTTGAGGTCACGTGCAAGTTGGAGGCCGACTAAACTTGCTAAACTCAGTCCTACTTAATGATACTTCAACAAATTTTTCCATGTTGACATGTTCAAAAATATAACGAAAATAAATATTGCATCAAAATTGATCTGACGTTCTGTTTTTTTTTTCTTTGCATAAGTTGGAAATTCTGCAGTAGAACGAAAGTTTCAGAAATCGGTTGTGACGTGGAAGATTTAGACATTTGGTGGCCAACGTCCAAAAGGAATTAGAAACATGAAAGCCTGCTTGCTGTCTCCTACTGTTTATACCCTCGGGTGTTTAAGAAAGAAATAATTATACCAATAATCCTGGCAAGCTTGAAGACTTGTCGCCGAAATAAATGAGTTGGCGCCCATGTGTAATACCACGCAGACGACAAGAAGTCAGATATGGAAAGATCTAGACTAGGGCACCTTCTATGGTATGGAATGCGCGTCTTTGAATGACGTTTATACCTGAGAAGTTTAATGCGATTATTAGAAAGAACTATCTTTGAAAAGAGATTGTAGGTGTTTAGGTATATATCTCACCACTCATGAGAATATTTTTAGAGAATGTTTTTGAAGTCATACTGAAAGGTAGCAAAGACAAGTATCTATTCCATCATCAATCATGATTATAATACACATGCCCTTAATCCGAAATTCTGTTTGCAATTTCGAGCTCATTCTTTTCAATAAATCTCCGTTATAGCACAACCACTTCGAAATGCTAAATAACTAAATGTAAGATTAGAAGCATGTTTACAAGCGTAATCATTTGAATGTGTACCAAATTTAATTCTATCACATTCTATACAGTCTATCTATGGTGCTTATCTATCTATCTATCTATCTATCTATCTATCTATCAATCTATCTATCTATCTATCTAATTCTTTTCCACGCTGAAATTTTAAAATTCCTTATTAAAGTTTGTCTATCTATCTTTCCACACACACACACACACACATATATATATATATATATATATATATATATATATATGCAGAGTGAGAGAGAGAGTATATATTAACATTATTCATTAAAGACAAAGAAAGTCCATTATAACGGACTATATATTTCTATGCGAGTTTGTTTGAGGGTAAACAAAACTTTTCTTAACGATTGCACACACACACACACACATACACACACGCGCACATACACACACACGCATACACACACACACACACACACACACACACACACACACACACACACACACACACACACACACACACACACACACACACATATATATATATATATATATATATATATATATATATATTGCTTTGTTGCTTCTGCCTGGCTTTTACAATTTGTTTTAGACTAGTTTCATTTTATTTTTTTCTTATTAAAATGATAGGTTTGAAATTAATCTTAATTTGAGGTGTGAAATGATAATAACCATTGTATTATCTTAATTCCTACTATATATATATATTCTATGAACGAATATTTTCTATGAAAATTTCTCGGACATTCAGGCCGGTAAATGTTATTTAATACTGTTTATCTTAAACAGAGCATTTGCTTAAATACTTGTATCTATAAAAATAACAACGTTAAACATAAATAAAAATGTCTTTAATAAATAAATTGTCGGACCTTGTCCATTTCTTAACATATGACGTCATTTGTTTACATTCGATACGCCAGAGCAGTTATGAATGTACGAGATTCATGGAAGATTGTAGTTTATAACAGTAAATTCGACCTTGTCTACCATAAGGTTCATGGTGGCCGAGTGGTTAAGGCATGTCAGCGTATATGACAGTTCCGTATAGGATGCAGGTTCGAATCCTGTCTATGAACGAATATTTTCTATGAAAATTTCTCGGACATTCAGGCCGGTAAATGTTATTTAATACTGTTTATCTTAAACAGAGCATTTGCTTAAATACTTGTATCTATAAAATAACAACGTTAAACATAAATAAAAATGTCTTTAATAAATAAATTGTCGGACCTTGTCCATTTCTTAACATATATATATATATATATATATAAAATTTAGGATTATCAGTTGATTAAGTTACCTTGGTTTTTTTAAGGCGATTTTTATGAATTTAGCTCCCAACGTTTTATTTAAAAAAAACAAACAAAAGCAATGAACGGTGTATTATTTTTTAAAATAAAGAAACAAACGTACGACGTTGTGTGTGATAGAAACGGAGAAGGAGGAAACAAAGAAGAAAATAGACGAAGGTGGGGGACAGAGGTGAAACGCACTGGTATTATAAATGTATCGATGGCGGGTTTATTGAAATTTACGAACTTTTTTTAACAAGCTTCATATGGGCTTAAGAGGATTTTTTGTATGTAAGCAACGGCTCATGACTTCGGATCTCTGGTATAAAAGATTATTATATTCCCAGGGTGGTTAGATCTAGCTTAAATGATGACTTATAATTGTACCACCTTTGTTTGAAAGACCCTTCAGTACATCCTATGTACGTTTTATTCTGACCATTAATATCTATAATTCTGCTTTATTGATTATTGCTTCGGTTTGCAAGCTCCATCTAATGGAAATCTGTTCTTATTTCTACAGTTGCATAAATTACTAGTTTTAAATACATATATTTTTGTACGTTAATTTTGAAATTTCTGGTGTTTTGTCTATTTATTATTGTTTCTAAATTTACTCGTGCAGCTGTAGCTTAATTTAATTGTGTTTTTATTTATTTATTTTTTTTTTTTTGAGAAGTAACTTATGCAATTCTGAATATTTTGGGAAGTTTTTAGCAAGTAATTTGAAAAATAACTTCCGTATTTTACATTTTAACTCTAAGTTAAAAGTGAGGTTAAAATTGCTTTTGATATATTGCTTAGTTTAGGTCTAAATTCTACTTCAGTTTTCATACACTTTTCATTTAAGTTCTTCTCATATTCTTTATTTATGTATCATAAAATCAATTTACTAGAAGAGATTCTGAATAACGAAAACTCTATTCCTTTAGGGATGTGCTTTATTATGTTCCCAAGGTTGTTAGATCTAATATTCACGTATTTTAATTTTGTGTTGGGTTTCATGTAGGGAGATATACTGCCAGATTGTAGATTTAATTCTACGTCCAGCTAGTTGGCAACTTTTTTTTTATTAGTCTACTATTACAAAGCCGAGGCTTTTGAAGAGTCTGAAAAGCGCTTTTCTTATAGTGTCATTTATTCTTCTGGTGAAAGGCACTATCATCAGACCGTCATACCTATACGGACCGTGGTAGATTTTGTTAATTTCATATCAGATATGTAGGCATATTAGCTCCGAGAACTCAGTGACATCAAAGGAAGGCTGCGGTACATCAAAGCCGGATGGTTCCTAATCAATTCCACTCTGCCCATTAACATTTAAAGTGCTATATATATATATATATATATATATATATATATATATATATATATATATATATACAAAATTTCGTTCATAGCCAATGTAATTTATTGCTAAAAGATTATATATATATATATATATATATATATATATATATATATATATATATATATATATATGATATGTGTGTCTGATTATTCGTTTTTGTGTATGAATGTCTAAATCTTTTGTTTCTGCTTATATATATATATATATATATATATATATATATATATATATATATATATATATGTATGTATGTGTGTGTGTGCGTGCGTTCCCGAATTTCTCAGAATATATACATAGCGAAGGCAAATTGATAAAATAGATATTAGAAAAATGGTATTTAGTTCTTGCCGACAAGTTTCGCCATCCGACATTATCAAGACAAGGGATCATAAAGAAAAGCGAAATCGATAGTTACACCAAGTTCAAAATTTTAACAGAAGCTCCTGCAAAGCCTCGTTTTGGATTTTAGTAATTTTTTTTTTTACAGTGACTAACTGTGTGTTTTTATTTTCCATGTCGACAGTGTGTGACAGTTTTCAAAATATCTCTGTAGAGAAGACAAAACGAAAAAAAAAAAATGAAAAAATACTCATATCCAAAACGAATTTTTTTTTCGTGTAATTATATAACAATTCGCTTTCGTTTATCCTTAATACATCTCCCGTTTCAAATTTAGACACCCCCACCTTACCCTGACTTGACATCTACGAAAGTAACTCTATACTGATACTTATTATTAACAACCAACACACGCCTACCCAATTTAAACAATTCGCCCTAACTGTTACCATGGAAATTTTGATTTCAATTATTAAAACACGTAAATTTCAGAAATACGTTATTCAAAAAAAAAATTTTGCTTGAAGATGGAACTGAGCTTACTTTAACTCAATTTAATTCAAATAATTATATTGAAGTTTTCAGCTCTTGTTTTGAAACATGAGACCTCTTTTGTCGCGAGTTGGAATCATATTTTAAATAAATAAATATATATATATATATATATATATATATATATATATATATATATATATACTTCGTTCAAGTTTTTATTTAATTATTCTTAGAATATTGCTCTTTTCTAAACATTATCGGACATGCACGACATTCCGACAATTTTGTACACAATTTATGCCCCTGAGGAGAATAAATTATAAGAACACATAAAAAAATTAATAAAAACTTCTTAGTCATTTTTAACGACATTTTTAGATATATACACACATACACGCCACACACAAATGCGTTAAATGTCCGATGAAAGTTCACTGCTATATATATATATATATATATATATATATATATATATATATATATATATATATATATATATAAGCGCGTTTGTGTGTGTGTGTGTGTGTGTTTATTCCCAGCATCGAGGCTACCATCTTTCAACAGCGTCTCTGTTGGTCGGTTGACGTGACCAAAATGCGTCCCCTCGACACGCACATATCATCCTGTTTGGAGAATTCACCAGTGGCAAGAACTTACGCTGAGAAACAAAACGACGCTTCAAGAATCAGATGAAAACATCCCAGGTACAGGCAGATATCTACCCTGAGATTTGAGAAACAGTGGCTGCAAATCGCTCATCCTGGCGTAGGTTCATCCATCATGAAGATTTCCTACGTGCTGTCAGGGGCTTCGGGCTCGCCCAGCCGAGTCCACCATCCTCACTCCTCTGTGATTCTCGACTCTTGATGAGTAGACCGCGCCTTCATAGACATCTCCGCCACCACCTGGGTGGCAGGATAAACGAAAAGAAGAGAGGATGACGATCCCGTTGTTCGGATATGAGCGGCTGCCGCCAACCACGACATAATATATATATATATATATATATATATATATATATATATATATATATATATATATATATATAGTGTTACCCACCTTGATTTCCTAAACGTTTTTTCGAAAACAACGACTGTATTCAAAACTGAATTTATAATACTTATTTTCAACCATATTTTCAATCTTAAATGTTAATATGGGCTTAACTTCAAATCAAAAATTAAACTACTTGGAATTTAGATAATTAAAATTAATACTAATCCACCTAACAATAAAATATCTTTCGATAAATACAACAGTATTTACATTTTTCGTATTATTCTCCTCATCTTTGTCGCCATATTTATCACAACGTTTCGGCTGTTGTAAGTTCCGGTCTTCTTAAGGTGGTTGGAATGTCGAACCGAACCCATCATTTCGCTCACTGGGGTAGACTGTTCTAGTTCCACGTGCCATAGACTAATGGATGTCATTTATATCCTGTTAATTCCCCTCTCAACGTTCTCCACCGCCTTAACCACGTATTGAACTAACAGACTTTGGGTCCTGTCACTGGATCTAACTAACGCCTTTATCCACTGTGCTACATTCGAAACGTTGTGATAAACATGGCGACAAATATGAGGACAAATAATGTCCGAATAATGCAAATAGTATACAAAATACTTCATCTCAGAAATATAGACAGATACTATAAATAGAAATATTAAAAAA